CCAGCTGTCTCTGTGAAGCAGGACATTAAACAGCCTGCATGATAAAATGCAGAGCAATGTCACTCTTCCTGCTGCATTGTTTTGTTTTATAATAGGAAGGGTGGTTAATGGCTCATAAAAAATCTTAAGTGAATTTATAATGGAGTTTTTATTTTTAAAAATATAAGTAAATATTTAAAAATTCTTTCTTGGTTTTAATTTCTAATCTTGTAAATTTTATTAGACATAACATCTATGAAAAAAAGCTCTTTGGGTGCCCGATAAGTACAGAGGTCTGGTTAATAACTTGGGTTCTAGGATCATTTAGAGGCACATATTCCATATTCCATAGCTCTGTGGCCTGGACGCACTCTTTAACCTTGATAAGATTGTGTTTCCTGATGTGGAAAATGAGGATAATGGCAAAATCTACCCTATGAGGATGAATGGGATAATGTATGAAAAGCATTTCAAAAACTGCCAGGCATGGCTAGGTGTGGTGGCTCATGTCTGTAATCCCAGAACTTTGGGAGGCTGAGGTTGGTGGGTCACCTGAGATCAGGAGTTTGAGACCAGCCTGGCCAACATGGTGAGACCCCGTCTCTAAATACAAAAAATTAGCCGGACGTGGTGGTGCATGCCTGTAACCCCAGCTACTTAGGAGGCTGAGGCAGGAGAATTGCTTGAATCCCGGGAAGCAGAGGTTGCAGTGAGCCAAGATTGTGCCACTGCACTCCAGCCTGGGTGACAAGAGCAAAACTCTGTCTAAACAAAACAAAAACTGCCAGCCATGTGGTGCATGCTACTGATGGTTGTTATTTGGGAGGCAGCGAGGCATGAGGGTGAAGCACGAGTGCTTCGAATCCAGGCTGCCTAGGTACTTGAGTCAATCACCTAACCTTGCTGGGCCTCAGCTTTCTCACCTGTGAAATGGAGATGATGCTGTTAGTACATACCTGCAAGGTTGTTGTGATGGTGAAATCAATGTCTGGAACCTAACTTTCCCCTGGGCTTAGAGGATGAGTAACAGGCATGTTCAATGGAAGCTCCACTTGTCAGAGAGTCAGGTAGGTTACAGACAGTCAGGTAGGTTACGGAGAGTCAAGTTGGTTACAGAGAGAGTCAGGTAGGTTACAGAGAGAGGTAGGTTACGGAGAGAGTCAGGTAGGTTACAGGGAGAGTCAGGTAGGTTATGGAGAGAGTCAGGTAGGTTATGGGGAGAGTCAGGTAGGTTACGGGGAGAGTCAGTAGGTTACGGAGAGAGTCAGGTAGGTTACAGGGAGAGTCAGGTAGGTTATGGAGAGAGTCAGGTAGGTTACAGGGAGAGTCAGGTAGGTTATGGAGAGAGTCAGGTAGGTTACGGGGAGAGTCAGGTAGGTTACGGAGAGAGTCAGGTAGGATACGGAGAGTCAGGTAGGTTACGGACAGCCAGGTAGGTTACGGAGAGTCAAGTTGGTTACAGAGAGCGTCAGGTGGGTTAAGGAGAGGTAGGTTAAGGACAGAGGTAGGTAGGTTACGGAGAGAGTCAGGTAGGATACGGAGAGTCAGGTAGGTTACGGACAGCCAGGTAGGCTACAGAGAGTCAAGTTGGTTACAGAGAGCGTCAGGTAGGTTAAGGAGAGAGGTAGGTTAAGGAGAGAGGTAGGTAGGTTAAGGAGAGAGTCAGGTAGGTTACGGAGAGTCAGGTAGGTTACAGAGAGAGTCAGGTAGGTTACGGAGAGAGGTAGGTTACGGAGAGAGTCAGGTAGGTTACGGAGAGTCAGGTAGGTTACGGGGAGAGTCAGGTAGGTTACGGGGAGTCACGTAGGTTACGGTCAGTCAGATGACATGGCACCATCACCTGCCTGACCCCCAATACTGCTGGGGGCTGCAGTAAAGCTGAGGGTCTCTTGAGGGAAAGGTATGGGAAGGCTTCTGAAGCTGTAGAGGAGGCCCCTTTGGGGAGAGCAGATGCTGACTCCTGGCCTCACCTCCAAAGAATATTTTGACCCTACAGGTGTAGCCTGGAGCACAGAAATCCTGGTTGTCATGGCGCTGGTAACTTTAAACACAGTCTGTGTTGCTTAATGACAGGGACACATGCTGAGAAATGCATCCTCGTTTGGTAATTTAGTTGTTGTGTAAACATGAGTGTGATTATACAAAGATGGTATCTACAGTATACCTGGGCTACATGGTATGGCCTGCTGCTCCTAGACTGCGAACCTGTGCAGCATGGTACTGTACTGGATATGGAAGGCAATTGTAACACAGTGGTAAGTATTTGTGTGTCTATACATAGAAAAGAAAAGGTGCACCAGAAGTACAGAATAAAAGATAAAACTTGGTCCACCTGCATGGGGCACCTCCATGAATGGAGCTTGCAGGACTGGAAGTTGCTCTGGGTGATTGAGTGGGGAGTGAAGGTGAGGGCCTAGGACATGACTGCACTACTCTAGACTCTGTCAGCACTGTACACTTAGGCTATATTCGACTTAGGCAAGATATTTTTCCTTCTTCAATAATAAACTGTAACTTACTTTTTTACTTTGTAAACTTTTTTTTTTTTTTAAACTTTTTGACTCTTTTGTAATAACACTTAACTTAAAATACAAACACATTGGGCCGGGTGCGATAGCTTATGCCTGCAATCCAGGCACTTTGGGAGGCTGAGGCAGGTGGATCCCTTGAGCTCAGAAGTTTGAGACCAGCCTGGGCAACATGGCAGAACCCTGTCTCTACATAAAATACGAAAATATTAGCTGGGTGTGGCAGCACATGCCTGTAGTCCCAGCTACTTAGGAGGCTGAGGTGGGAGGATCACTGGAGTTCAGGAGGTAGAGGTCGCAGTGAGCCGAGATTGCGCCACTGTACTCCAGCCTGGGGGACAAGACCCTATCTCCAAAAAAAAAAAAATACACACAAACATTGTACAGCCTTAAAAAATATTTTCTTTCCTTATCCTATAGGCTTTTTCTATTTTAAAAATGTTTGATTTTTTTTGTACTTTTAAAACTTTTTTGTGTTAAAAACTAAGACACAAATAAATTCATATATTAGCCTAGGGCTACAGAGGGTCAGGATCAGCAAGATGTCATTAGGTGACAGGAGTTTTTCATCTCTATTATGATCTTTTTATTTTTTAGAGACAAGTTCTTGGTGTCTAGACCAGGCAGGAATGTAGTGGTGTGATCTCAGCTCATTGCAGCCTTGACCTCCTGGGCTCAGGTGATCCTCCCACCTCAGCCTCCCAAGTAGCTATGACTGTAGGCATGTGCCACCACACCACACCCAGCTCATTTTTTTGTAGTATTTGTAGAGACAGGATTTCACCATGTTGCCCAGGCTGGTCTCAAACTCCTGAGCTCAAAGGATTCTACCTGCCTTGGCCTCCCAAATTTTTCAGATTACAGGCATGAGCCACCACACTTGGCTAATTTTTGTGTTTCTTTGTAGAGATGTAGTTTAATCTTTTTTTTTTTTTTTTAATTTATTTTCTTTCTAACGCCATTATAATCTTGTGGGACCACCGTCCAACATGTAGGTCCATCATGGACTGAAATGTCGTTATTTGGCACATGACTGTCGTGCATTTCGGGGGTGCTGGAGTCAGGTGGTTGGAGTTCCACAACCTGAAAACACTGAAAAGTACAGCACTGGGAGTTGAGGCTCTCCCTTCCCACTGTGGTCTGGCTCATCATGCCCAGTGCTGAGCTCCCCATCCTCCCTTGCCCTCCTGGAAGGCCCCAGGTCCCAGCTTTTGTCTTGGGGTACTCTTGGTTTGCACGAACATTTGGCCAACAAGGATCAGTGAGACAGGTGGTCAGGATGCCACAGAGAGTCAAAAGACCTGTCATGCCTCATGCCCTTTGTGCATCGTGGATCCACTGTGGAACAAACACTGTCTCCTGACACAGGTCAGCCTACCAGATCCCATCCACACATTGTGGCTGCTATGAGCTCCTCTAAGGGTTGGGCGGGATATCAGGCAGACATGTTGACAGGGTTCAATATAAAAGCACCATGGATTAGTCTCTTCTCCTGGGATGAGGTGCTTTCTTCCTGGAAATGGATTTGGATCTTGTCAGAGGCGGTGGTGGCAGCGGTGGCCGTTGCCTGCTGGGAGCATAAGGTATGGGGCTCCCTGCAGGACTCTCAGTCCTAGGAGGGGTGATGAGGGCTGGGGAGGGTTAAGCACCCAGATGCATCAGGACCAACTTGCATCGCGTCACACTGACCTCAGCTGGGAGCCAGCAGCCTCCTGTTAGCCTGCAAGCCTGGGCTGGTTGGGCAGGTCTGTCAGGCGGGTGGATGGCTTGCAAAAGGGAGCGGTGCAGTGTCCAGCCCCGGTCACGGAGGGCGGGGACACGGCCCTTGGGCTCCAGCTGCCCTGGTCTTCAGTAGCGTCACTGGATTTCAGGTGTGCCTTCCTCCTCGAGCCGGGTCTTCCACTCTCCTCAGGGCACAGGTTGGTCTGTCTTCCTCCATGTGCCATGCCTAGTGGTGGGTAACAGCTGGCTTCTGAAGCACGGGAGAATGCAAGGATTATGGTCAAAACAGTTGCATCCGGGAGGTGTGAAAGCCAGGTTTGGGAGAGAGTGGGCATCTTTAGGGTCCTTGCTGGGGCGGTTACTGGGCTTGTTGAGTGCTTGGATGCTGGAGCCAGATGGCCTGGACCAGGCGTCCCCAAACTGCGGCCCCATGAGGCCATTTATCCGGCCCCCTGCTGCACTTCAGGAAGGGGCACCTCTTTCATTGGTGGTCAGTGAGAGGAGCACAGTATGTGGCGGCCCTCCAATGGTCTGAGGGACAGTGAACTAGCCCTCTGTGTAAAAAGTTTGGGGACGCCTGGCCTGGACTGTTTCAGTTCCACCTGCTACCCTCTGTGGCTCTGCGTTCTCACCTGTGAAAGGGGAATGCTAAGAGGACCCACTTGTTGGGGTGGCACGAATAGCTAACACAAGTCAACAGTTCAGAATAGTGCTGGGCGCCTAGTGAATGCCGGCTGAAGGCGAGTTCACTTTATTATTCCCCTTCCACAGGCACCACCGGGAAGGCACCATCCCCGCCACCCCTCCTCACTGACCGGCAAGTGAACGAGAAGGTGGAGAACCTCTCCATCCAGCTGCGGCTCATGACCCGGGAGAGGAATGAGCTTCGCAAGCGCCTGGCCTTTGCTACGCACGGGACGGCCTTTGACAAGAGGTAGTAATCGCGCCGTCTCCCCTGCTCGGGCCCCATGGCTGGGGTTAACCCTGATGCTGGTGCTGTCACCCCCAGACACCCCCTAGCTCCTGGGGGTCCAGGCTGTACTGCCTGAGTGTCCCCTTGCCCCCACCTCACTTCCAGGAATGTCTCCCAGAGGCAGCACCCACAGGTTTGTGGTCCCCCTCATGCATGTGGAGAGGCCCCCGATAGTGGTGTGCTTGTTTGCAAGGTGGGCTCGTGTGTGTTTTGTGTGTGTGTGTGTTTGTGTGTGTGTGTGTGTGTGTGTGTGTGTGTGTGTATCCCTACCACTGTCTCCTAGACCTGCCCAAGTTGAGTAAAGTTTTATGTGGTTGGTAAACACATTAATTGTTCCTTGCCACATATGTGTTTTATTTTTTGATACGGGGTCTTGCTCTGTTGCCTGAGCTAGAATGCAGTGGCGCAATCATGGCTCAATGCAGTTTTTACCTCCCCAGCTCAAGTGAACCTCCCCTCAGTCTCCTGAGCAGCTGGGACTACAGGTGTGTGCCACCATGCCCAGCTAATTTTTTTTTAATTTTAATTTTTTTGTAGCAGCAGGATCCATGTTGCCCAGGCTGGTCTTGAGCTTCTAGGCTCCAGTGATCCTCCTGCCTTGGCGTCCCAAAGTGTTGGGATAATAGGTATGAGCCACAGCATCTGGCCCCTCATGATGTGTTTTAAACAGAGCACATTCTACCTGGTGTCTTGTTAAGAAAATTTTCGCTTCTTTTGTGATTTAGAGGTAGATAACCCATAGGGTGGGGCAAAGAGAGTCTTTATCTACCTGCATGATCTAAGAGAACTTTCTGGGAAGGAGGAGGGCCAGAGAGTGGTTTATCCTTTAGCTCCCATGCTGGTAGAGAAGTCTGGAGGGGAGAGGGGCCTGATGCAAACACTTCAGTTTCACCTGTTTCTTTCAGGAGCAAGGGTCTGTGCCTCTGCACTCTGTGCCTCTGGGATTATGCCAGGGCTGCAGAGCCTGATCCCCGAGCTTGTGTTCATAAGGATATGCCCCTCAGTCAGTTGACCCAAAGACAGGATGAGTGAAGACGTGGATGTGCTATGCTAGCACATGAGAGAGAGCTGGCACAGGATGGCCCATGGGCCAAGGGTGGCCCACTGCCTCTTTTATAAATGAAGTTTCATTGGAACACAGCCATGCTCATTGGTTACAAAGTGTCTATGAATGCTTTTCTGCTACAAAGGCAGGGTTGAGTGGTTGCAACAGAAACTATATGGTATGCAAAGCCTAAGTATTTACTCTGTGGCCTTTTGCAAAAAAAAAAAGTTTGCTGACCTCCGCTCTGTAAAAAGGGTCCTCAAGTTTGAGCAATAGATTCTGCACCAGAATCACCCACAGGGCTTGTTAATGCACAGATCATGACCTCTCTTTCCCTCCCTTCAGAGCATCTGACTCAGGAGGGCTGGGGCTGGGACTAGACCCAAGAATGTCTATTTCTGACAAGTTCCCAGGTGATACTGTGCTGCAGGTCTGGGAACCCCACTCTAAGAACCACTGCTTATGGCCGGTGTTATTAACCTTGGTTGCAAATTGGAATCCCCTGGGGAGGTTTTAAAAAATCCTGATGTTTGGGTCTTATCCTTAGAGATGCTAATGTAATTGATCAGGGCATTGGTATTTTAATGTGTACCCAAGATTGAGAGTCATTGTTCTAAAGATAGGAGAAATTTCATTTATTTAATATTTTATTTAATTAATTAATTAATTAATTAATTATTTTTGAGACAGGATCCTCTCTGCTGCCCAGGCTGGAATGCAGTGGTGCAATCTTGGCTCACTGCATCCTTGACCTCCTGGGCCCAAGTGATCCTCCCTGAGTAGCTGGGACTACAGGTGCATATCACCACACCAGGCTAATTTTTGTATTTTTTTTGTAGAGGAAGGGTTTCACGATGTTGCTCAGGCTGGTCTCAAACCCTTGACTTAAAGTGATCCACCCGCCTTGACCTCCCAAAGTGCTGGGATTACAGGCATAAGCCACCACGCCCAGTCCAAAGAGAGGAGACATTTCATCACAGGTTTCTGGTGGACTCAGACCTGTTGCACAGACTCCTGGGAGGTCCTGCAGAACCAGTCGGCACCTTCTCAGCTTTCCAAGCCCATGCAGGGAGCTCAGGCAATCATGGCTCCCTCCATCCTGGGGATTCTGATTCTGTGGGTCTGAGTGAGGCCAGGATATCTGAGTTTAACAACCAACCAGGTGTGTGTGGTGCACAGGAGACCAGTATTTGGGAACCACTGGGCTGGCCTAATCCAGGACCCGGCTCCCCTGTCCGTGTGAATCCTGGAGCCTATGTTCATGGGGCCGTTTGCTTTCTGGGCCAGGCCCTACCACAGGCTGAATCCTGACTACGAGAGGCTGAAGATCCAGTGTGTGCGGGCCATGTCGGACCTGCAGAGCCTGCAGAACCAGCACACCAACGCCTTGAAGAGGTGTGAGGAGGTGGCCAAGGAGACTGACTTCTACCAGTGAGTGAGGCCTGCTTGGCCAGGGCCCCCAATACCCACAGACAGCTGCCTTTGCCCTTCTTTTCTTGGGACTTGAGCCAGGGGTTCTGGTTGTAGTCCTGCCCGTCCCACTCAGCAAGCAGTCTGCCTACAGCAGGTGGATTTGTGCCTTTGGGCCCCAGTTTTCCTAAGTGTAAAACAAGGCTGTTAATCCTTCACATTTTATTGCCAGCTTCAGAGACCTGGTAGGCAGGAAAGTGATTCAGAACATGCAGCAGGAGTCAGGCAGGTCTCTGGGTGTCTGTCCAGGAGCCATACTGCAGCTTCTTCTGTAGGATAGGCCCACAGGGTGTTTCCCTTTGGTTTCCCAGCACCCCGCTGAGGGTCTTTGCCTGCCCACCCGCTGCTAACCTGCCTAGGCCCCAGTATTTGGAGGCACTAGGTCTGTACCAAAGGTGCCTGTCTCCCTTCCCTGGAGATACATGTGTCCTTTTTGGTGTCAGGTTTGTAAAAGGTGATTTGGATGTTTTTGGAATTGGTCTGTTAGCAGGTTTTGGCTTGCCTCTGAGTGCTGCAGACCTAGCTGCCACTGGCTCCTGTCTGCTGTATCTATGGGGAGCGCTGGGACCTAAGGCTGCTGATGCCCTGGGATGGGGCGGGGTGTGAAGGGCTGGCCGGGGCTCAGTGAGCGTGTGTGGTGTGTTTCAGCACACTCCACAGCCGGCTCCTGAGTGACCAGACTCGGCTGAAGGATGATGTGGACATGCTGAGGCGGGAGAACGGGCAGCTGCTGCGGGAGCGAAACCTGCTACAGCAATCGTGGGAGGACATGAAGCGGCTCCACGAGGAAGACCAGAAGGAGATCGGTGACCTCCGTGCCCAGCAGCAGCAGGTAGGCCCAGCTCCTGGCCATTTCTCCCAAGTAGTCCTCATTCCTTTTAATGGAGAGCGGTATTGAGAAGTAAATGCCAGGCCAGGCACATTGGCGCACATCTGTGATCCCAGCATTTTGGGAGACCAAGGTGAAAGATTGCTTGAGCTGAGCCTGGGCAACATGGCAAGACCCCGGACATGGTGGCGCACCTGTAGTTCTAGCTACTCAGGAGCTTGAGGTGGGAGGATCCTTGAAGCCCAGTAGTCCAAGGTTACACTGAGCTATGATCATGCCACTGCATCCCAGCCTGGGCAGTGGAGTGAGACCCTGTATCTGAAAAAAACACACAACCAAGTGCTGGATGTGCTTGTAGCTCGGGTCATCACTGTTTCCTGGCCCTCTCAGTGGACAGGAGTAAGGAGTAGCTAAGTGTGCACACACACACACACACACACACACACACAGACACAGGCGCGCACACACACATACTTATATCTGTATTTCTGTATCAGACATGTAGACTGAAAGCCATGAGTTTACACTGACAGTTTCAATTCTAATTCAAGACCACAGGTTCATTTTGGTTTTTACCCTTTTTATTTTTGTAACCGGCTTTAAAAACAGCAGTGACAAACATGATTCCTGTTATTTTTATTTTTTTATTTTTTGAGATGGAGTCTTGCTCTGTCGCCCAGGCTGGAGTGCAGTGGCACGATCTCAGCTCACTGCAACCTCCACCTTCTGGGTTCAGGTGATTCTCCTGCCTCAGCCTCCTGAGTAGCTGGGACTACAGGCACATATCACCATGCCCAGCTAATTATTGTATTTTTAGTATAGATGGGGATTCATCATGTTGGCCAGTATGGTCCCTATCTCCTGACCTCGTGATACACCCCCCTCAGCCTCCCAAAGTGCTAGGATTACAGGCGTGAGCCGCCGCACCCAGCTGATTCCTGTTATTCTTAGTCTCTTTACTTAGTTAATCCCCCTTGTGTAGCCACCTCCCATGCCCTCTGGAGTCCCCCTTTCCACTCGCCTATCCCTTGACCCTTTGTGGGCTCTCCCCCCCCATGCCTTCTCTCTGCCAGGCCTGGCCTCCTCATGCCGTGCCAACGCCCCTTCCTTATTCTGTGCTAGCTGTGATACCCCCTCTAGAGCAACCTGCCCGAGTGTAGGTCCCTGTCTTGCTCTGTCTTGCCTAACGGATTTAAGGCTTAATTGTTCAGAAAAACGGAGACGGGCTTTTTCTCTTTCCATTTTTTAAAATTTCACATTTATGGCCGGGCGTGGTGGCTCACGCCTGTAATCCAAGCACTTTGGAGGCCAAGGCGGGCGGATCACCTGAGGTCGGGAGTTCAAGACCAGCCTGACCAACATGGCGAAACCCCGTCTTTAAGAAAAAAAAAATAATAAATAAATAAATAAATAAATAAAATTTCACATTTATTTATTTATTTATTTGAGACAGAATTTCTCTCTTGTTACCCAGGCGGGAGTGCAATGACATGATCTCTGCTCACTGCAACATCCACCTTCTGGGTTCAAGCAATTCTCCTTCCTCAGCCTCCCAAGTAGCTGGGACTACAGGTGTGTGCCACCATGTCTGGCTAATTTTTTGTTATTAGTAGTAGAGACGGAGCTTCACCATTTTGGCCAGGCCGGTCTCAAACTCCTGACCTCAGGTGATCTGCCCACCTTGTCCTCCCAAAGTGCTGGGATTACCGATGTGAGCCACTGTGCTGAGCCTTTAAAATTTTTTTTTCCATTTTATACTATTGTTTTCTAATTGCAGAATTAATATTTGTTTTGTAACAATAACAAAATAAACAATACAGAAATTTACAAAATTTCTGCTCCACAGAAATAACTACCATGAATGCACTGCAGTGAAAAGTTTAAAATTTGTATCTGTACTTACAGAACCCTTTATAATAAAAAAAAGAAAGAACATGGAACCCTTTACAATGCAGTGATATATAATACATTTGTTGCTAACTTTTTTTTTTTTTTTTTTTTCTGAGACGGAGTTTCGCTCTTGTTACCCAGGCTGGAGTGCAATGGCGCGATCTCGGCTCACCGCAACCTCCGCCTCCTGGGTTCAGGCAATTCTCCTGCCTCAGCCTCCTGAGTAGCTGGGATTACAGGCACGCGCCACCATGCCCAGCTAGTTTTTTGTATTTTTAGTAGAGATGGGGTTTCACCATGTTGACCAGGTTGGTCTCGATCTCTCGACCTTGTGATCCACCCGCCTCGGCCTCCCAAAGTGCTGGGATTACAGGCTTGAGCCACCGCGCCCGGCCAACTTTTTTTTTTTTTTTTTGAGACGGAGTTTCGCTCTTGTTACCCAGGCTGGAGTGCAATGGTGCGATCTCGGCTCACTGCAACCTCGGCCTCCTGGGTTCAGGCAATTCTCCTGCCTCAGCCTCCTGAGTAGCTGGGATTACAGGCACGTGCCACCATGCCCAGCTAATTTTTTGTATTTTTAGTGGAGACGGGGTTTCACCAGGTTGACCAGGATGGTCTCGATCCCTCGACCTCGTGATCTACCCGCCTCGGCCTCCCAAAGTGCTGGGATTACAGGCTTGAGCCACCGCGCCCGGCTTTTTTTAACTTAATATATGATGTGCAGCCAACCATGGTGGCTCATGCTTATAATCCCAGCACTTTGAGAGGCCGAGGCTGGTCAGAAGTTTGAGACCACCCTGGCCAAAATGGTGAAACCCTGTCTTTACTAATAATACAAAAATTAGCCAGGCATGATGGCAGGTGCCTATCATCCCAGCCACTTGAGAGGCTGAGTCAGGAGAATTGCTTCAACCCAGGAGGCAGAGGTTGCAGTGAGCTGAGATCATGCCACTGCACTCCAGCCTGGGTGACAGAGTGAAACTGTCTCCAAAAAACATATAAAAACTAAAATAGCCAGGTGCAGTGGCTACGTCTGTAATCCCAGCACTTTGGGAGGCCAAGGTAGGTGGATCACCAGAGGTTGGAAGTTCGAGACCAGCCTGACCAAAATGGAGAAGCCCTGTCTCTACTACAAATACGAAATTAGCTGGTGTGGTGGCGCATGCCTATAATCCCAGCTACTTGGGAGGCCGAGGCAGGAGAATCACTTGAACCCGGGAGGTGGAGGTTGTGGTGAGCCAAGATTGCGCCATTGCATTCCAGCCTGGGCAACAAGAGCGAAATTTTGTCTCAAAAAATAAAATAAATAAATGTATGATATGTATACTTCTATTTTAGTACAAATTCTACTTCTTGTTTTGAACTGCTGCAAAGTATTGAGTTACAAAGAAGCACCGTAATTGATTTAACCAGTCCCCTATTGAGAGACTCTTGCACTATTTTCAGTATTTTTTTGAATCGTAAACCATATTCCATTTAAAAGATTGCTTCTGTTGAAAAACTTGCTGTTTATTGATTGAGGTCTTATGCAGGCTCAGCAAGGGACCCTAAGATGGCTATACTTGGAGCTATTATAGAGGTATCTTTTTTGTGCCCACCTCTGATTTGGGGAATTGGTTGTGTGGGGTCAGGTCCAGTGGCTGGTGCAGAGGTTGGTATTTAGCCCATAGGTCTTGACGGAGCCTTGGTAATGGAAAGCTGGCAGCAGGAAGAAGGAAGACTGCTTCCTCGCACCTGCTGCTTGGCCCAGAGAAGCTGTGGCAACATTCTTCCCACCCTTTATAGGTTCAGGAGGTGGGGATGGTGCTCTTGGAGCATTTCTCTAAGGATGAGATGAGAGAGGAGAAAGTGCCATGCTTGCACTGGTCAGTACTGCCCACAACCCGTTCCCCCTGCGGGGATGTTTCCTTGTACAAGTCAGTGGAGCTTCCTAGAGAAAAACAGATTTAAAGACTGCAGGTTTTCCGTTTCTAAGGAGGCAAAAATATTTTTGACCTCAAAAGAAATCCTTTGGCGGAATCCTGCCTGTGAAGCAGGTAAGGATGGAGGTGCTGTGGTGAAGCAAAGCCCCTGGGAAGCTGCCTGAGGGGACGGCCCTCTAAGAGTTGGAGCCCCTTCTCTGCCCTGAGGTGCTCGCGGTAACCTCCCCGACCTGAGGGCAGGCTACCCCTCCTGGCTTCAGCTGCACCCTGCTTTGTGCTTTGTTTTCTTGTACTTTGCCTGCTGGCAGTTTTCTCTTCTTGATCTACACTTGGCTCAAGGAACCTTTTGCCTCAGGGTTTAGTTTGGATTCTGTTCTTCCTTGAGAGAGTCATCATTTCAGATGTGTATGTGGCTGCATGGCAGTCCAAGGGAAGCCCCACAGCCTTGCTGGGAAGTGTGAGGTTGGTGCTTCTCAGTGTAGCAGAACTGGCTTGTATGGCTGACACGAGGCTGAAAGACACCGCGTGGAAGGCACTGACACTACGTGCCCGTGTGTGTCAGGTGCTTGGTCGCTGTTGTGGTCGTTACTGATGTTATTCCAGTCCTGTCAAGTCTGGGTTAAAATCTGCCTCATCCAGGATGTGTAAAAATAGGAACTCGCATACATTGTGGGTGGGAATAAATGATACAGCTACTGTGAAAGGCAGCCTAGTGATTCCTCAAAAAACTAAGCATAGCTAACAGTTGACCTCCCAGTGACTCTCCTAGGTGTACACCCAAGGGAATTGAAAATATACGTCCACACAGAAACTCGGGGTGTGAATATTCGTAGCAGCCCAAAACTGGTAACAACCCAAAGGTCCACTGACTGGTGAATGGATAAATAGAATGTGGTCTCTCCATACGATGGAATAGTATTCAGCATAACAAAGAATGCGGTACCGATCCATGCTATACTGTGGATCAACTTCAAAAACATGACAGCAAATGAAAGAAACCAGTCACAAAAGACCACAAACTGTGATTCCAGTCACATGAATTATCCACAACAGGGACATCTGTATAGACACAGAGCAGATTTGTGGTTGTCTTGGGCTGGGCATTTGGGAAGTGACTGATGATGGGGGGATAAAATGTTCTGGAATTAGATAGTGGTGGTGGCTGCATGACTCTGGATTCATAACCTTGTG